CCTGACCTGTGACCTGACCTTGTATGACCAGTGACCTCAAATAGCAACATATGTACTAGACAACTGACGCCCTATCGCTGATTTTCGACAAAATGCGTTTTACTCGGTGTTATAGCACTTTCCCTAGAAGCCCCGTGAACGGTGAAACATTTTATCTTTGACCTGACCTGTGACGTCATCGGTGACCCCGAGGTCAATGAAATTTGGTTTCCCTCGACAAATTTGACAGGGTTATCAAACGCCGTTTGAATTTTCCGGATCCGTCCAGTAGTTTCGGAGATACGGGGGGGGGGCAAAAAATGCCCCCCACCGCGCGGAAGGTGGCCGGGAGGCCCACCGCCTGCCGGGTTAAGAACGGCTGGGGCGATTGCGCACAAATTTGGCACAATGCTCTAGACCGGTCATTGGGGTGCCGTGCAAAGTCAGTGGAAGAACCCTCTCGCACTTCCGCACGTGCAGGGCTCACTCTGTCGCCCGCTCGCTCTTCGCTCAAAAGGCGTTTTTACCGGTTTAATTAATTAGGAAGGCCATATTCTCCTTAAGGTCATACCAATGTCATAGTCATGGATCGTGATATGTGTATAAATTACATTAACTTCTACTGTTTTTTTTTTTCAATTCCAGAGTTATGTTCCGGCTCTTTATGGGTATGCCTCTTGGGACGCCTGACGAAAACAACAACAGCCATGTAGGGTAAGTAAGAATTTATGACCTTTCCTCGTAAAATATAAATTAGCAAAAAGGATATATTGATATTGATATTTCGATCACAGATCTTCGTCGGAATTGTTAACAAAAGACAGAATAAGAATACATTTCTTGTCTGCTCCTTTCTTTATCTCCTATTTCACTATCGTTATCACGAGCAATTAAATCTAAAGTCCATTTTTCAAATCATGATAACTTTTAGTCGACATACGAATACAAGTAACTGAAATTGTTAAGCCTAATTAACAAACTTCTTACATTAGAAAATACAAATCAAAATCCTAAATTGGCGCACTGCATTCTAACACTCATCTACATAAACGAGACAGGTACATCCAGTGACACACATCCATACACTTACATAATAGGCCAAGACGATACATTCGAGTTCAGTTCCGGTCTGCGTTTTCTAATCAAAATAGACTCTGCGATTTTGCGATCTGGGTGATCCGTTGCCCTATATGCACTGACACACTTATGCTATAAGGAATGTCCCTGGCATCTGGGTGAACATTTCCAAAGTGATCACCCATAGGGGGTGTCTGGTTTGTTGCCAATGGCGTCTCTCACATGTTCATTGTACCTAAGCCGTATCGGGCGTTTCGTTTCCCTATGTACTGTGCACTGGTCGTTCCTGCACCACACAGTTTACATGTTAACATGTAGACTACATTCTTTTGTGTACACTGGCCTGTGAACCCACTCTTGCACAAATTACACCTATTTCCCCCTGGACAACGAGGTTTGCTAAATGCTGAACGAACTAAACGTTTTTTTTAACTTCATATCATTTCGCCAAGCCAGCTTTACATTGAGTCCGGATTTCTTAATAATGCTGTTCACTTTGCACAGTAAATGCTCATCGATGTATGGCAAAGTCAAATAACCGTCATCCCCCGCCTTCTGTGTGTTCCCACGTTTTTGTTTTGTCCGTTTGTCGTTTTGTACCTCTCTGAGGAGCCTCTTGAGTAGATTACGTGAATAACCTTTTTTACCAGTAAAAGACGGATCTTTTCCACACTGGAGGCTCCCTTAGCTTTGCTAGAGGAAAGGTTCAGCGCCCTGCGAAACATGCCCTGATCATGTTGTGTTTGTTGAGGTGGGATGTGCCGAAGTGGCATGCAAGACAATGCCCGAATTCGTCGGTTTTATGTACAGTTCTGTCTCTACTTAAGCTGTCTGGTTCCATTCGACTCTACCGTTACATAGGTGTCTAAGAAAGGGACCCCTTTTCCGTTTTTGAGTGATCTAGGGTGAATTTCAACTTTGGGTGCAAGCCATTGAGCTACGTCAGAAAGTTGAACAGCTCCTCCTCTCCATGATTCCATATTCCGGCAAAATCATCTATGTATCTAACCAAAAAGTCTGGTTTGAGCGCCGCACCTGTCAGAGCTTGTTGTTCAAACTTGTCTAAGAAGATGACTGCTAAAGGCGGAGCGCACGGGTTGCCCATAGCGATGCCCTGCTTTTGCCTGAAGAAGGCATCTCCAAACGAGAAGACATTGTTGTGTAGGCATTGATCCAGTAGAGCACATATGTCCTCCTTGCTTAGACCAAATGTTTCAATCCCCCCCGCGTGAGCTTCTAACTTTTCTTTGGCTGCTTGAATGGCCTCCTCTACAGGTATGCTCCCATACAGATTTACTACATCTATACTGAAGAAGATGGACCCTGTCGGAAGTGACTGTCTTTGACAGTGATCATTCATTCTTTTCAAAAAATCGTTAGTGTCACAGAGATGAGTTGGAATGAACGCTAAAAGCTGCTTTAATATTCTCTCGAGAAGGCAAGCTGTCTTTTCGGTAGGCCCACCCGAGCCTGAAACTACTGGGCGCAATGGAACTTCGGGCTTATGGTCTTTAGGAAGGCCGTAAAAAACTGGAGTTCTGCTATGCATGGGCGTTAGATCTTCCACGTTTTTCTCTGAAAGTTTATCTTTAGCTACCGCCTTGAATACCTGTTTAGTCTTCGCTTCCACCTGCGGAACTGGATTTTTCGGCAACTTTTCATAACTCTCATTGTCATTTAAAATCGTCTCAACTTTATCCTTATAATCCTCCCTATCCATCAGAACGAATTTTCGTTCAGCGCGTGCATCTCTGCCGCAGGCTGGCCGAGGCCGGCGCCGAGCAGAGAGCACGCGCGGTAGGCTCAGTTGTTCGCTTAAAAAACTGAGTGAAAAGCATCAGAGCCGGGAGGTCGTTGACCTTTGACAACGAAGGCCGACACAAGGCACCGCTCGCCAAGAGGATTCGCCAGTAAATACAATTAATTTGTTTTTGCAATAACTCAGCCGTTTCTGGGCCGAGTTAGCTGAAACTTGGACTGTCAGTGGTAGTGTAGTGTAGTGTAGTGTAGGGTAGGGTAGGGTAGGGTAGGGTAGGGTAGGGTAGGGTAGGGTAGGGGTAGGGTGGTAGGGTTAGGGGTAGGGTAGGGGTAGGGTAGGGTAGGGTAGGGTAGTGTAGTGTGGGTAGGGTAGGGTAGGGGTAGGGTAGGGTAGGGTAGGGTAGGTTAGGGTAGTGTAGGGGTAGGGGTAGGGGTAGGGTAGGGTAAGGTAAGGGTAGGGTAGGGTAGGGTAGGGTAGTGTAAGGGTAGGGTAGGGTAGGGTAGGATATGGTAGGGTAGGGTAGGGTGGGGTAGGGACTAGGGGTAGGGTAGGGACTAGGGGTAGGGTTTGGTAGGGTAGGGTAGGGTAGGGTAGGGGCAGGGTAGGGTAGGGTAGGGTAGGGTAGGTTAGGGCAGTGTAGGGGTAGGGGTAGGGTAGGGTAGCGTAGGGCAGGGTAGGGTAGGGTAGGGTGGGGGTAGGGTAGGGTAAGGGTAGGGTAGGGTAGTGTAAGGGTAGGGTAGGGTAGGGGTAGGGTAGGGTAGTGTAGGGTTAGGGGTAAGGTAGGGTAGGGTAGGGTAGGGTAGTGTAAGGGTAGGGTACGGGTAGGGAAGGGTAGGGTAGGGAAGGGTAGGGTAGTGTAGGGGTAGGCCTAGGGGTAGGGGTAGGGTAGGGTAGGGTAGGGTAGGGTAGGGTTGAATTGAGTAACATCCTAATTCTTACAAAGGGCTCGAACAACTCGCATGCATTACCATCATGCTTTACAGTTCAATTAAAAGCAGTTACCCAGTTCTACACAAATAATATACCAATAAATATGCAAGTTTCTACACCCAAACTAATGCATCCGTTAATCATGCATATCAAAACATACAGTTATCGCGTAAACCTGTTGTACAGTAGGTCTACTAAAAAAGTCCCCCGCTCCAGAGGCGGCCGGCCGGCCGAACCCCCGGATTCCAGCCCGACTCTATTGCGCAGGCCGCGGCAGCGACACGGGTCAGGTCGCGGCGCCCGGCGAGTGGGTCAGTTGGCGGCGGCCGGCCGTGGAGTGAGGACGCCGTGTGTGGGCGCAGAGATGCCGCAGTGCAGAGGAGGGGAAGATAATGACTACACAATGTCGGAAATGATGCCTTTGTGATCTAAATTAAACACCTGCAGTGCATATCCCCTTGCCCCATTCCTTTTTATCATAATCCTTCAATAATCTGTAATGGCCATTCAGCGCAAGCAAAAACAAAACAACCCGTTTAGCGGCGACATCATCTCGGATAAAAAAGCGACAGTGATGATTAGAATAGACTTAGCGCGAGGGCAAATCGAGGGGTATAACTATATGTATCACATACCGAGTATTTTATTCCCATCTAGCGAATTAAGATTGGGGATCTTGTCCAACAAGTCAGCGGCCGTTCTAGACACAGAATAATGCTTTGCTTTTGGTCACATCATTATCTGCAATAATTCGAAGCGAGGTTTAACCCTCGCCGGCCGAGAAGAAGGGGTGGATGCCGCCACCATCAGACTTGTAAACGACTCAATTTTTTTGAGTCGATTCTTTGTTTGAGTCTGGAAATTTGAATCGATTCATCAAACGACTCATGATGTTAAATTTAATTGATTCGAATCAACTCATGACTCATCAAGTTCCTCGATAAAATAATTCGAATCAACTCATGACTCGAGCAACTAGCCAACGGAATGATTCGAATCAACTCATGACTCACACATTTTGATGAATCGATTCAAATCAATCATGACTCACACGACATTTTTATTGAACTTATTTCATTCAACCCATGACTCACTATAGGCATTTGTTGATTATTTGACTCAAAGCTATATGATAAGATGAATATGTCGCATACCACAATTGTATTAAGCGGCATAGTAGCCTTGACCAAAGATTCAAGCAGCTACCTAGTAGGACTAGGTACATAGGTAACTACTTTGGCAAACATGGTTGATGCAGTTTCCAGTTCCTAAGTCCCAATTCCACTTTTGAATTCTAATATTCCTGCAGATTGGGCTACCTATTCTGTAGCATACTGGTCACTGGTCAGTCTTGCTTCAATTTCTTATCTTGTCACCTACAACAAAGCAAACAAGTTCTAACTGCAAGCAGTCCAGAAAATAGGTACTTCAATGTTTGTACACATCACTTCCATTCAGTTTGCTGTACACACCCAACAATATTTTGGGCTCTAGAAATCGAATACCAATAACATATGTAGGTAAGTATGACTGAAATCCATTTATAATGGACACAAATCCAATTGAAGCAAGGCTGACCAGTTGCAAATCTTACCTGCCTTTTCAAAGACATTGACATACCAATTACCAAAGTCACTGTGCCCACCGGAAGTCGCAGTTCATGTCTGATACCCATGGCCTTGGTTTGATATTTAAATGCATTTCATAACTCAATCAGCTTTGAAATTATTTCTATCTGTATGAAATGAATCTAAGGCATTCTCCAGAAGCCGTGATATTGAACAGATTTTTAGCCAACTGGCGCCGCATGGTGGCGCTAGCAGAGCGTATAACACTAGCGCTCTACTAGCGCCATCATACGGCAACAGCTGGCAAATAACTGAGTCAATACCAATACCATTCTCCAAGGCCAATGGTTCCGTGTTGATATGAAAACGGCGCATTTGAG